TTGGACTATGAAGCAGTAAGGAGAGTGAAGCCGAAGGCTTCATTTCACACAAATACTCCTTCTTTCGTTTGGGGCCTATACTGGTTAGTTCTACCATATATTTGACAAGAAAACCAACGAAAAAAGCAAAAAACGAAAAGTAAGTAAATGTCATGTACATGCCTGAAACGAAAGGAATGACTATTCACATGTTATGCTAGGAACGAAAGGTTCAAGGTTAAGAGAAACTTCCCTTGCTTGAAGATGGAACGTGTGTGCTGGACCTTGAGTGGCTACCTATATGTTCCTGGATTCAAAGGAAAGAAACAGGTGTGGTGTTTCTTTGACTGGATTCAAAGGAAGGAACCAAGCGTTGGATTACTTCAGATTCGAAAGAGAGAAAGAAACAAGTGTTGTGTTTCTTCTGGATTCGAAGGGCCAAGGAAAGAGGTGTGGTGTTTCTTCTGGATTCGAAGGGTAGAAACAAGTGTATTGCTTCGTTTGACTCTGGGTTTGAATATGTGTTTAAGTGTTTGAGAGTGTTTGATAATTTGAGAGTTTGATGATTTTTTCTCCATGCCCCAAAGTCTCTGGATGTGTTGTCCAACCCCTTATACATGTTATGGAGCCTCTTATTTATAGGCAAAGCTGGCTAAGATTTAGGAGGGAAAACAAAACAATTTGAACAATTTGAGTAAACTGCTCTTTGTAGCTTTCGAGGGGCAGTGTTCGTATGCCATTTTAGTGCAAGAATGGGGTAGTGTTTCAGGACTGTTGTGCTGTAGTTTTGGAGCGTTATGGCCAGTGTATCAGGCCTGAACTTGGCAACAAGCATCTTTTGATATCTCCACCTTTCGTTTTGACCTCCTTCGACCAGATTCTCCTTCAAACAACATTACTTGATTTTCACCCAACAAGTGTCTTTCGAATGGGTCACTTTTGTGCATCCTTCGAAGGAGCCAAATGTGTGCCTCTTGAATGGGTCACCAAAGTATGCCTTAAGGTGGGCCTTGTAAGTCCTTCGAATGGGACATCAAACATGTCCTTCGAATGGGTCATGTATGTATCTTTGAAAGGGATAAATGTGTCCTTCAAATGGACTATGCTATTCTTCGAATGGGCTAGTAAGGTATATCCTTCGAAAGAGAATACTATGTGTTCCCTTCAAATCCACCAATACACGTCCTTTAAAGGGGGGCACCAACAATGTGTGCTGAAGGTTGTCAAGGGTGGAATTGAAGCATACTAAAGAAAAATGTTGTCCAGTCGAAGCTAGTATAAAATAGCCAATGCCCTGTCGAAGCCTGCATGCAGGAGGTCACCACTTTGCAAGCATACAAGAGGCCATTGCTCAAACGAAGGTTTGCATGAAGAGTCAATGCCCTGTTGAAGCCTGCATGCAGGGGGTCACTGCTTTGTGACTCAAGGCAAACATGTAAGGGGACAATGATGCAATTGAAGCTTGCGTGCAGGAGGCTTTTCCTCTTTAATCAAAAAAGGCTACAGGAGGCTCCTTGCCTTGTGCCTGCTGGCCTGGTGGGAGACTCTTGCGTGCAAGAAGGAATCCATGGCTCAATTGAAGGCTGCATGCAGCCAGCCATCAACTTGTGAATCAAAGCAGGCATGGAGGGAATTATTTGTCTAATCAACACAAGTATGCAAGCATCAAATGTCCAATCGAAGCAGGTATGCAGGCCACCATTACATTGTGAACCATGTGAGGCCAATGATGCAATCGAAGGTTGCATGCAGGAAGCTCCTGCCTTATGAATCAAATCCAGCGCGTCAGAGGCCAACGCCCAGTCGAAGGATGCAAGCCAAGCTTGTATTGAAAGAGGCCAGAAGTCCAATCGAAGGATGTGAATCAAAGGAAACTTGTTTTTCCTTCAATTTTGTCAAAAGATTATTTTTATCTGTTTTGCCCTTTTTTAACAGCTTCCTCTTTAACTTGATGCTGGAAAATCCAATTGTACTTGTGCAAGCTTGAATTTTGAGAATCCTTGTGAAAAATGCCTTGAGAAATGAGAGAGAAAATTTTGGGGTACAACATGTATGTTTCAGTACATCATAGAAAATTCCTTAACAACTGAGTACGAGACTACGAACGTGTCTCAGACTCAGTTGAGAAAGTCATATCTTTATAGTTGTGCAAAATTGCTCTTAGATAAATAAATCGGTCTGATGAAAGTTGACAAAGTATTTATCTGAGATAGGACAACACGCTGACGAAAGTATGTGTTGTCCATTTTTATCTATTTCTATAATTTAGTTTGTTTCTTGTAATAGAACCAGAGATTTATATGAGCACATGTAGACATAAATCATGTACCATATGTCCTGCTCTTTTAGTATAATTTTCTACCCTTAACATTTTAACTCTTTAAACTGAAAACCCCAATTTCAATTGTTTTAGCTACCCATATATAAGATAGAATTTGGTAATCATTCATTTGGTCTCTAAGGTTTGATAACTTTTTATATTACTCGACACTACCATACGCTTGCGACGTGAATGAACAAGGAAATTCAGACAAGGTACCCTTCTCACAAGGAAAATATAAGAGATTAGAGTCATGATATTCCATGTCATTATCTAGTCGAAAATTTTTAATGGGTTTAAAATATTGTGTTTGAATAGTTTTGGCAAAGTTAATGTAAATTTGAGGATGCTCGTGCCGATTTTTTATCATGTATATCCAAGTAACCTTAAATAACCATCAATAAATAACACATAATATTGAGAACCTCCCAAAATAGATGTGTGAGCAGGACCCAAAATATAAGAATGCACTAGATCAAATGGTGCAACTAAAATATAAGTACTTTTTTTAATGGATAAAATTGGTTGTTTAGCAGTTTGATAAGTAGTACAATCAAAGGACTCATTTGTGAGAAGTCCTAAATAGCCTTGAGACACTAAAGGATGCAATTTACTAATAGAACTATGGGCAAGACGGTAATGTCAAAGTTGAATGGATGAATATATGGAAGTGACACAAATGTTAGTCACATGAGGAGCATGCAATTTAAGTGAGCTCAAATAGCCTTCCAATCTCATATCCGATTCCAATGAGTTGTCATGTCTGTGTATCCTGCACAAACATCCAGAGGAAGAAAAAACAAGTTCATAACCAAGATCATATAATCGGACAATAAAGATAAGGTTAAAATTTAATTTAGGAATAAGATATGTGTCAGGTAGGCTTAAGATATACATAGGGATATAACCTTTGTGGATTATATTCATAAGAGATCCATCAGCGGTGTGAATGGAACGAGTAATGTCATTTTTAGACAGGGAGGAAAATAAATTAGATGCAAATGTCATGTGGTTATAACATGAAGAATCAAAATACCATTTAGAATTATGTGGTGTGCTCGAAAGAGCAGCATGAGTATCACTAGAAGGAAGAAGTTGTCTAAGAAGAGACCCAAGATATGTGATATAGAAGGTTGGCTGAGAGAACTTTACAAATTCATTGGTAGCAGCAACAGTTGCAAGTGTAGGCCTTGAAGAGTTAGGTCAAGGTTGATTACTATTCAGATCAGAACGTGGAAGACGAGTGGGTCAATTCTTAATTAAGTGTCAGTGTGTCTTGCAATATCGACGACAATTTGAAGCAATATGACCATTTTCACGCAGTTAAGACATTCAATTGTGGGATGATAAAAAACAAGAATGATCAAACTTACAACAATGATGCCAAAATTTGGTAGGCTTATTTAAGGCGTAGTCAACTTGTTGATGAATAAGTCTCAATCAAGTTTCTTCAGACTTGAGACAATGAAGAGCATTCTCTAGTGTAAGTAAAAGGTTTTGGTGCAACAAGGAAGCTCAAACTGGTTCATATCATCAATGATAGCCATTAGAAAATGAATAAAGTGAATACGATTGCGATGAGTCTCATATGTTTTAGGTCAGTAGCATTTTTCAGAGAAGGCTCACATGAGACTAATTTATTCCAAATAACTTCCATCTATGCTAAAAACTCATAAATAGGTCGACTAGATTGTTGTTTCAAATTACTAAGATAATATAATGTTGTTTTAAATGATCTCATACCTCTTTAGCATTCTCGAATCGTCCAAATTACAGATGAATACTCAAAATAGAGATATACTAAAACTAAGTGATGTTTTGATGATTTTTGTTGTCTAATTCCTCTAATTTATTAGTATAAGTCTTTGAAATTTCACCAACACTTCTCATTCGATACATTTTATCCTATGTCACATCTTGTCAAAGTCGACGAACTTTTAAGAAAAATATTATGATTATCTCATATTGCTAATTTACATTGTAATTATGTTAAGTTAATTAATCTTATGTGTAGTTATTCAATTTGTTGTTTTTTTTTGTCTCCAATCCTATATTATAAATAAGATTTTTTTTCTTCAACCCACTAATTATAATTGGAGTCATCGAGAACTATGCTAATCGGGCGAGTAACCTTAGATTTCTTCATTGTATCACAATAATGTTTAACCAAAAACAAAACACGTTACAAGAATTCCACAACAATGAAAGAATTTCTACTATTTGCAAGCGGAAGCGGCAAAAAGATTGCTACCGAAAAAAGACTCAAAAGTTGAAAGGCGTTAAAAAAACAAGCTCTAATACTATATAGAAACTTAGGAAAATATGAATAATATTTGTGTATTCGGTGTATATTTCAATTACAAGAAAAACTCCTATATACAATATATAGATTATTAAATACCAAGAAGAGGACATGAAAGCTAAGACAAAGCTTGGTATATGCATATTGCAAATAGATTATTAATTTTTCTAATGCTATATATAATTATTAATATTAATCTCCATTTTATAAAAATAATTTTAAAAATCAATTATATATTTTACATCATTGCTTGGAAGAAAACTACATCAACAATATTTAATAGAGGTAATTTTGTCTCGAGCATTTGGATAGTCCAAACTTTCCTTGGAGCATGCTATTCTTACAAACCACATTTTCTATGATCATAATTCATAGCTTCTAAAGAAAAGGCACCAAAAAATGGATGTTTTGTACACCATGTTGACTTTCATAGCCTTCACTTTTCTAGCTCTTTTCCTATCCATATGTTTCATCATGATCACAATCTTCAAAGGAAAATCCATAGGGGATCCTAAATATGCACCTGTTAAAGGCACTGTGTTCAACCAACTTTTCTACTTTAAGAGACTCCATGATTACCATGCTCAATTGGCAAAAACTCATCCAACTATGAGGCTTCTTGCTCCAAATCAAAGTGAGTTGTATACAATAGATGTCAGAAATATTGAACATGTATTGAAAACAAATTTTGATAAATATTCTAAAGGTAAGTATAACCAAGATATTGTCACTGATCTTTTGGGTGAGGGGATTTTTGTTGTTGATGGTGAAAAATGGAAGCAACAAAGAAAAGTTGCTAGCTATGAATTCTCCACAAGAGTTCTTAGAGATTTTAGTTGTTCTGTATTTAGAAAGAATGCTGCCAAGTTAGTTAAAGTGATATCAAAATTTTCTCAAGAGGGTCTTCATTTTGATATGCAAGTGAGTAGTTATTTATATTTTCCTAAAATTTATGTTCAAGTTGTTTTGTTATTATATGATGTATATGCATTTTGTTCTTCTTTTTTATAGGACTTACAAATGAGATGTGCTTTAGACTCAATATTCAAAGTTGGGTTTGGAACAGAATTGAATTGCTTAGAGGGATCAAACAAAGAGGGAATTGATTTCATGAAGGCTTTTGATGAATCAAACGCTATAATTTACTGGCGCTACGTTGATCCTTTTTGGAGCCTTAAGAGGTTTCTAAACATTGGTGGTGAAGCAAAGCTTAAGCGCAATGTAAAATTGATAGATGAATTTGTGAATGGAGTCATAAAAAGTAAAACGGAACAATTGACACTACAACAAGATTCTGTAAGTTAATCAATTCAATCTCTTCTGATTTGTGTTGCTTTAACACTTTCTAGAATTGATGATATGAGTGATTTTCTGTTTTTGTTTTTCAGAATGTTAAGGAAGACATACTATCAAGGTTTTTAATGGAGAGCAAGAAAAGCGAAACAGATATAAGTGATAAGTATTTGAGGGATATAATTCTAAACTTTATGATAGCAGGAAAAGACACGACTGCGAACACTCTTTCGTGGTTCTTCTACATGTTATGCAAGAACCCTCTTGTTGAGGCCAAGATTGTGCAAGAAATAAAAGATATGACTTGTTGTAGTCATGAAAGTGGAGTCAACATAGATGAGTTTGTTGAGAATTTAAGAGATGAAATAGTTGATAAAATGCATTATCTTCATGCAGCTCTGACAGAAACGTTGAGATTGTACCCTGTACTCGCTATAGTATGTATCTTGTATAAAAAATATTAGATAGATTTTGATGATATTCATGTTTGTTTAATATGATATTATGTTTGAAGGATGGAAGAACTGCAGATGCATCTGATGTTCTTCCTGATGGACACAAACTCGAAAAGGGTGACGGAGTGTACTACTTGGCCTATGCTATGGGTCGAATGTCTTCCATTTGGGGGGAAGACGCCGAGGAATTTCGACCTGAAAGATGGATTAATGAAGGAATTTTTCAACCAGAATCGCCTTTCAAATTTGTGGCATTTCATGTAATTTGTATATTTGTTTCCTTTATAAAAATTGATATTATTTATGACCGTTATTATGATGTGTAATATTTAAAGTTTGTTTGTAGGGTGGACCTCGCATGTGTTTAGGGAAGGACTTTGCATACAGACAAATGAAAATAGTAGCAATGAGTCTTTTACATTTCTTCAAATTTAAATTGGCAAATGGTACACAAAATGTGACTTATAAGGTCATGTTTACTCTTCACTTAGACAAGGGTCTCCCTCTCAATGCAATTTCAAGGTCATGATGACTTGTGAGTGAGATCACATCTAAAGTAAAGTAAATAATTATGCAGAGCATTTCTAAAATTTTAATTTTTGATGTTGAATAAAGATATGAGATGTCACAAGTCTTTTATTCTAAAGAGAATAAAAACGACAATGATATGCTTTAGATAGCCAACTGATTTATCAAAATTACTTAAACATCTTTTTTATATCGTTGAAATCATAATTTTATTTATTTTTCTAATTTAAATTTAGACTTAAATGCAACTTTTTTTTTGTTTTAATCTCCAATTTTAAAATCCAGCTTTCTAATCTTAAATTTTATTTCATTTGAGATTTTGTTAGTCCCCTTCAATTTTGTACAGCTGATGTCATTAAAAATATTTTTAAATTTTAAATTTTTTTATTTTTATTAATATTTTATATAACAAATTTATTATTAAAAAATAAGATTTGAGCCTAAAGCCCATGGTCATCTCAAGAGCAGCCCAATAAAGATTCAAGTAATAGTGTAAAAGAGCTTATATAAAGACTTCTATTTACTTTGAAATTTCAATGTGGGACTTCAAACGTTGTTGCATATCCAACATTGCATCTATAACAGCAAGGATGAGCATGGGTTCCATTGTAGACATGTATGTTATGGCTCTGATCATAACTTTTAAACATTCTGATCACAACTTTTTAACATTCAACATTATGCTTTTTTTCCAACAACAACCATACTCATTACACAATGATTCATGAACGCACAACCTTTGTTTCAAGAAGACTATCTACACCTCTTAAACACTATTATGTGCTCTCTTATGTGGACATTAAAAATGTTTGACAAATTATATATCCTTAACTTGTAGGGAGACTAAAACAGAAGTGGATGTTTCACTCCATGCATGTTCTTTCAAAACAGAAGTGGATGTTTCACTCCATGCATGTTCTTTCACATTAAAATACAATATATGAGTAATTCATTATACTTTAGTTCAAATTATTTTGTATAAAAGTATAGTATGATTGTATATAAGAAGTGGCATGTTCAACCTTATTGGAAATATTTTAAAGTGAAGTCTTTTACAGTTTCAAATACATCCCCATCATCACCATGTTCCAATGAATAATCAACCATATCATGATGTATAGGCTGTGAATATAATTTATATCAACCTCTCATTGTGATTGTGTGCACAAATGTTGCCATGCTTTTCAGGTTTTGCCAACAAAAATGATTGTTTTTTAATGCCTCATAACACCGAAATTCACTACATATTCGATTCGACTTGCACGTGCTTTATTGTCAATTTACTCTTATTTCTAGTGTTATGTTGGTATTTTATCGATGTTTCAAGTATCTAATCAAGTGAAAGTCATTACACAGAGAAACACGATGAATCAGGCGAAAAACAAAAATACTCATTTTGTACTCATGGCACTCAGCATGGCATTCGCCAAAGGGGTCGCCATGACATGTTTAATGAAGCCCACGTTCTAGCGGTCCAGAAGCCCATGATCAACGCTTTTTGAACCTGTGGTGTTTGCCATAGGGTGTGTGGCGTTCACCACACCTTGTATTTCTAGAAAAATGCCAACTGCTTAGAAGGGTCACCCATTTTTCCCTATTTTCTCTTACACGAATTTAACAACCTTGACTTCACTTTCTAGGGGTTTGGAACACTATAAATACATGTTAGAACTCATTTTTCAACGATCCAAGCTTAGCACAACAAAAGCCATATATTTACCATTTAAAAGTTTTAACTCTTCACATCGGGGAGTTATTGCATTGTTCTTGTATTGAGTATGGAGCAGTTATTTTGTAGCAGTTAATCTTGTCAGCATTTGCTTTAATTTTCCATTTTTCCATTGATTTACTTTGTAGTAGTCATTAGGACCATCATATATCACATGTTGTCTTTTAATAATGTCCATCTTCAGGACTTTTACGGGAGATTCTTCATCTTTCGGCTTCTTGGAGGATTTTCTCTTCTTCTTAGACGGAGAAACTCTTTCAAGAGGTTTTGGATTAATTTCTGAAGATCTATCAAAAAGATACTCAGAAAAACCTTCAACACGAATCCTTTTGTTCATTACCTCAGAAGTAATTGGTTCTGAAGGTTCCACATCTATCTCTTTGGCTACCCTAATGTTTCTCAGGGTTTTTCCATTTATGGGAGACCAAACAACTACATTCATTACTTCTTGATTTAAAGAATAAGCAAGATTACATTCCAGAAGATTGGCTGAAATAAGTCTTCCAAAAGGAGCGTGCTTCTTCTTCTTGGATCCTCCATCCCTTGATTCAATAATAGTGTTCTTTAGATGATTGAGCAGAACTACTAGTAGATTTATTTTCTCAATAGTGTGAATGACATGCAAAAGATACTTTTGATCTGCATTGATGTAATATGAATAATATGTTTCACAACGATGAGTGATGCTTCTAAAAAATATGCTGAACCAAACCCTAAGTTTATTGTGAAGAGATTTGGGTTTCTGTTCTTCATAACCTTCTATCAAAATGACTTATGCTTTTCCAGAATTCTTGAAACTGTCGGTAGTCATGTTTATTAATTTGGATCCAGTTCCGTCACGACTATATAGTTTTACAATATCTTCTTTAGTAATGAAGATCTTCTTCCTATAAACACTAGAGCAAACACGTACCCATAAATCTTTAACTAGATCAGTAAACACTGGTCCACAAAGACGATCAAAGTAGACTGATCAAACTTGAAGAGTAACAACATCTAAAAGGCTGCAACCATTGGCAACAAGGTTTACGAAATCCACCAGGGCTCCAGATATAATCATCAATTCATTAATGGGTGTGGATAGAAAGATATCAGAGGGTTGTTCCTGTTGAGATTGTTGAATTTGACCTTGAACTCCAGCAGATTGTTGTTGAGCAACCATGGATAATGATGAATAGATGTAACCAAAGACTATAACAAAGGATTTAGGTTTGAATAATTTTGGGGCTCGAAAAATGAAATTGTAAGATAAGTGTAAAGAAATGTGTGAGGTGAAGTGAGTGGGTTTTAAATAGACTTTGTAATGATGGAGAAAAGTTATGAAGAAAAAAATACAAAAGATCTTACAAGAGGTAAAGTAGATATTCAAATTTTAATTTCAAGATTATCTTGTTTCCCAAAAAAATCACATCAAGTGAAAAGGAGTGGTTCAGAAAGGACAATTGTCTTTAATTTGAATCAATAACTATTCACTGGAATAACATCTTATTTATTGAAGTAAACTCTTCGATTACCAATGGACATATGTATTCTCAAATGAATATTCTGACCATGGATAATTTTGATATATGAGAACTTCATTAATCTAAAGTCTTACATCTCATAAGCCAAAAATAAGAACAACATACCTTAGAAGATCTGACATTATTCTGGGAGATTTCACACAGAGAGCACTTATTTTTACATATGTAATCCTGAGAAGCGATATAGTTCCTCTTGTATAGCCATAATTCAATCTTGTTCAGAAGTACTTCATCAACATATGTAGGCTCCATCAGAGACGCTCAAACTTAGAACCAATTTCTCATAATATGAAGATCAATGTTTGTGCTACAACAACTTCTGATTGAGTATCTTCTGAGACAATGACTTCTTATTCTTTCATGTCCATCAGATATGGAGCCTATGATCTTCCCTTATGATCATCTTCAAAATCTACATTGCCTCCAGAATTTAGGTTTCAGGCTTTGGAACATATGTCTTCTTCCCACCATGTGTTGAAAGCAACTAGAGTCTAGGTACCATGACAGGTGTTTTAACACGCTTCTAAGAATATATACAACATGGATTATTTTTTTCTTGGGTACCCATAACTTCTTGGGCCCTCTCTTGTTAGTTCCCCCAGAGTTTTTAACAACTTTGGGTTTAACATCAGAATAATCATATTTATAAGGATTAAAACAAAAATTTTAGCCAGAGGTTTTGCCTTAGGTTTAGAAACAAATTTATCTTTCTCTTTTCCTTTATCTTTTGGCACAAACCCAGCAGAGACAAAATGAGAGTGAAGAGTAGTGGGTTTATCTTCCTTATCAGAATTAGATTCGTCATAGGAATTATAATCAATACCATTGGTTCCATTTCTGCTCACGACATAGATCATATAAGCCATCATGCTTCTCCTTATGAAGTTCATCCTATTCTAGCTCATTCTCGTGACTTCTTAGAGAACTCACCAGTTCTTATAGAGAAGTGTTGTTGAGATCCTTTGCAAGCTTGAGTGCATTTACCATAGGCCTCCATTTGGATGGAAAACTTATGA